TTCTTTTAGGTTGTTTTAAAAGTTTTGTTCGTTTTTATGAGTCAGTGAATACTTCTTCGACTTAATCGAAATAAGCGCCATTTTAATCAGTACACTTTGACGAACGTAAAACGTAACACATGTCCATTAATTCCGCAAGCATAACAATTGTTGGGATTCGATGAAGTCGATGAAGGCCGTTTTTTCCTGGTCCTGTTAGGTGAAGATTCTACCGGTGAAAAGTTATCGAACTGCTTGAAAAGATGGTAGTCGGTGAGCCACTAATAATGGCTTATTTTTACTTAGTTTAATATAAAAACACATTCTCACCTGACATCTTAACGATACGTTACTCATACAATCGAGTTGAAAAACTATAACCTCTTGAACAACCCTTGCACTTGAAGAATTCTTGAATAATGGTAGCACGTTCTATGTTCAGGCGGATTTAAAATGTTTGCAAGAGTAGTAGCATTAAACTTCAGCAGATTCCATGTTGATTAGGCTTTGCTTGTTTTTCAAATTATGGAATTTTCAAAAACTCGAAAAAACAGGGAGAAATAATATTTATGCAATCTCAATAAAAGTATGTAATGAATGTAATAAATAATTATATCTTCGAATAATGTTATTACATTGAACACATTTATTTTGAAACGTCTCTATTCGTACAAATTCAAATAATTTTACTGTACACAAAAAATGTAATGAAGAATGAAGCCGTTTTTTTGAAACAAATTATCTGAAAAAGCTGATTCCTAATCTGAAAAAAATTACAATTTTTATTGTTATACAAAAATAGCACTGGATAATGAAATAACTGAACATGAAATTCGATGTATCACAGTTCACAGTGTAGATTTCCATGCAAGTAGAGTACAACGATTATGGACAAACAGGATTGCTTACTTACATATACCGCCACGTTAAATAAGTGCCGAGCAGATGTGACGTAACACTGATGACATTTTTAGTAGCTGCCATAAGACTGTGTGTTATTTTAACATTTTTTGAAGATTATTTTCGGACAGTATTACATTGTTTTTGTTTATTTTGATTAAATTTTTATTTAACTATACCAATTAGGTTTCTGAAACATTGAGTTTGTTATTGTGAAAGTCGTATTTTTTTGTGCTTTTGGGCATTTTTTAAACTGGTGTAACGAGTAGACGCCATATAAGACTCTATTATTTTCTTTCGTTTTGAGGTTTGTTTTTGCCATTGTGGAACTTTTTATTGTTTTTTGAACATTTTCAAATCAAATTAAGGTAAAAATTGGAAATATTCATATTTTTGTAAATAATAGCAATAATTGTCTAACCATCAAATAACCTTGTAATTTTTAGTTAAAATGCCTGGTCGTATTTGTGCAGTGTCAACATGCAAAAGCAATCAGTTGGCTTTAAAGAAAAGTGGTGTTACTGATGTAATGTTTTACTCTTTTCCTATTGCTAAGGATGTGGTTTCCATAACTTTGCAAAAATAATGGATTCGTCGCTGCAAAAGAGGGGATAAATTCACTCTCAAAAATGGATTTTCTCAAATTAGAAGCCGTAAGATTACGTGACGTGTCTAACAAAATCGCAAAAGTAAGCAATCCTGTATGTCCATAATCGTTGGGTAGAGTGCGATCTGCTACTAGTGATTCTCCTCTACGTTTTTCCGCTTCTATTCTGTATCAAACAAAAATTATAAACAAAACACACTCATACTGACTTCGAGATAATGAAATACACAAATATATCATGAATCAAACACAAATTCAATGCCAAATGAAATCAAAAAATATAGGTACTTTATCTTTTGAAAACCTACAACTTGTTTGATTATAAATGAAACGTTACCGGTATATTAGCTGAATTATCCATATTATACGGCCTTCCTCAATTTTTAGTAGGTCAATGGGCTCTTTCTATTGGCTAGCCCAACTTGTCACATGTTGATGGTCATAAAGCGAAATCCCCTAGCAATGAGAGATGAATGTTAAATTTCATAATTTTGTATAAACAAGTCAATTACGTAAATTATTAAGAATTCTAAAGCTTCCGAAAGCGTATCTACTGAAATTTCATCAGTTCACAAACTATTTATGTGTTTTCAAGAAGAACTCGGATAGTTGACACAGAAAGATCCACCCGGCTTTTCCCTCGTGTTTGGCACTGTCAAATTTTGTAAAAAATGGCGGACCCAGGTTACAAGAGCCGTATCCAAAACTTCAAGAACAAAGGCAAAGATCAAGATGTAAGTAGTTTATTATAATGAAGTTCCATTCTCTGTATGTTTTCTTTTTGGAACATAGTTTGTTAGTTTGTTGATAGGGCATGTCTTCAATTTTCAAGACAACTGTTAAGGTCATTGCAAAAATTGCTTGAACATTTGTCAAAAAATTTATTGCAGGAGATGCGGAGGAGGAGAAACGAGGTCACGATCGAACTTAGAAAAAACAAACGTGAAGAAACTCTTCAAAAACGGCGTAATGTTCCAATTGTTGACACCACTGATGAGGATGACAACGAAAAATCTTTATCAAATACCAATCTGGAACAGTTACTCGCTGAAGCTGCTTCAGACGACAACCCACCAATTCAATTAATGGCTGTACAATCGGCGAGGAAATTACTTTCTTCTGATAGAAATCCCCCAATAGATGCTCTAATAGCAAGTGGAATTCTCCCTATTTTAGTAAGATGTTTAGAGAGGCAGGACAATCCATCGTTACAATTTGAGGCAGCGTGGGCATTGACCAACATAGCTTCAGGCACCTCTGCCCAGACTAACAAAGTCGTAACGGCGGGAGCAGTGCCTCTATTTTTAATGCTTTTGCATTCTCCGCATCAAAATGTGTGTGAACAAGCGGTTTGGGCACTGGGCAACATCATAGGTGATGGGCCTAATCTCAGAGACTATGTTATTGAATTGGGCATTGTTGATCCATTACTATCATTTATCAAACCAGAAATACCTATTTCTTTCTTGAGAAATGTAACTTGGGTTATTGTAAATCTCTGTAGGAATAAGGACCCTCCTCCGCCAATGCACACTATAGAGGAGCTGTTGCCTGCCCTTAATGCACTTATTCATCATACTGATATCAATGTAAGTATTATTGAAGCATTGAATTACTTTTTGATTTGAAGGTTATTCTATTTATAGTTAATCAAAGTTTTTTTATTTCTCATGGAAAAGGCAGAGTTAGGTATAGCAAAAAAGTTATTAGATAGTTCCCAATTTACAAAAATTTTGTATCGCAAGCTTACTATGAATGGACTATGCACACATTTTGCTATTTTTACTCAATTAACAATTAAAATCTCTTCTAAGATTCATATAATTATGTACATTTAACAGATTTGTTTTAACATCAAATCACTTTCTGAGATGAATAAATGAATATTTTTTGAGGTTAATTGAAATCAACCTTATTTTTTTAACACCTTCATGAATTGAGAG